GGGAGCCCGATGTGGGGCTCGATCCCAGGACCCTGGGATCATGACCTGAGCTGAAGGCAGACGCTTAACGACTGAGCCACCCAGGCGCCCCTTTAGAGCCGTTTTTACCCCTTTATCCGGTGTTCAGTCTATAATCATCACACTTGGCATTTATGTGTTGTCAGATCTTACCTCCTTTATTTTTTGCTGTTTTTTTATTGAAGAATAAGTACAATGTTACATTAACTAAAGATGTACAGTGTAATGATTCAGCAGTTCTGTACATCACTCAGTGCTCATCACAGTAAGTGTACTTATTCTAAACCCCCTTCAGCTATTTCACCCACCCCCACCCAACCTCCCCTCTGGCAACCACCAGTTTGTTCCCTGTAGTTAAGAATCTGGTTTTTTTGTCTCTTTTTTCTTTGTTCATTTGTTTTGTTTATTAAATTCCACATATGAACGAAATCATACGATATTTGTCTCTGTTTGACTTATTTCACTTAGTGTTGTACCCTCTAAGTCCATCCATGTTGTTGTAAATTTCTCAGTCTGGGTTTGTCTGGTGTTTTCTTATTAGATCTAGGTTTTATGTTTTTGGCAAGAACACCACAGAAGTGATGTTGTGTCCTCAGTGCATTACACCGGGAGGCACATGGTATCTGTTCCATTCCGAAGCATTCTGTGTTGAAACTGTGCTTGTGGTCTTAGGAACGGTGACGTCTATATATTAGGACTCTGACTGTAGGAATCCTGCTTAGTATTTGCTCTCATAAGAGGGCAGCACTCTGTTCAGCTTTCCTGTCCCAACTAGGTGAGTCTAGGACTCTCACCTTCCCATCAGGAATCATAATGCCTCTTACTTCTCCTAGTGTCACATCCCTTGGCTGGAATCTCTGAACCAGTGATTATTTCTTCTCTACAATCAGCATACCTTTAGTGTGAAAGTTTCAAGTTAGGTTCCGTTGGCTCCAGCAAGGTTAGGCTTCAGAGTTGAGTATTGTAGCTGGAATATGGAGAACAACTAGGTGCCAGGGGGTCCACTTGAACAGATTCAAGTTCATTTTACCCTCAATCACAGTCTTGCAGGCCTCTCATATTTTAGTTGTAGTTAAAATTTGAGTGTTTACTGCATGTCATTTACAAAGCCTTCTATTGCATTGGCCTCCTATAAAAACAACTCTAGGAAATAGATGTTACTTTCTCTATTTTACAAAAGAAAAAACAAAGGTTTAGAAAGGTCATTTAAGACAATATGGCTAAAAATTACCAGGACTCAAACCTGTCTCTCCAACTCCAAAGCCCTTGCCCTTCTTTTTTTTTTTTTTTTTAAGATTTTATTTTTTTTATTGAAAGGGACAAAAATAGCGAGAAGAGGGAACACAAGCAGGGGGAGCCCGATGCGGGACTCGATCCCAGGACCCTGGGATCATGACCTGAGCTGAAGGCAGTCGCTTAACCAACTGAGCCACCCAGGCACCCAAAATTGAAGTTTCTTGAAGGCAAATGTATTTTACACTCGGTTAAGTATTCTGGAACTTCAGTGCCTGGCACCTAATGGATGCTCAATGAATACATGCCAAATGAAAGAGATGCTAACAGGACCTTTTTCCCTCACGCTTCAGTAGAAGTTTTCAGATGTTAATGAGTGTTACTTGATATTAAAAATAATGAAAGAATGGATAATTTTAATTTATTCTTTAATCCATATTGCTTCATAGTACTCAGATGTTCCAGACCTCACTTTTCAAAATCAGGGCAAATTTTTTTGCTCACCTTCTAAACTAGCAGGATGCCTACTATGCTAGGCTAACTAGTAACCTTCCCAAAGATATCCAATTCCTGATCCCCAGAATCTGTGAGTATGTTACCTTACATGGCAAAAGGAACTTTATATACATGATTAACTAAAGGATCTTGAGATGGGAGATTATCCTGGATTATGCAGGGGGCCAAATATAATTATAAGGTCTTTATAAGGGAAGGTAGGAGATCAGAGAGAAAGAGATTTTTGGAGAGGCAACACGCTTGCTTTGAAGATGGAGGTAGGTAGTAGGAGCCAAGGAATGCAACTCTAGAAACCAAAAAAAGCAAGGACATGGATTCCCTTCCAGAGCCTCAAGAGGGAGCACAATCCGACCAACACCTGGATTTTGGCCCAGTGAAACTCATTTTAGACATCTGAACTCCAAAACTAAGATAAGAAGTTGATGTTGTTTTAAGCCACTACTAAATTTGTGCTAAATGTGCTAGAGTAGAAATAGGAAACTAACATACCTGGATTTCTATAAAACAAAGCAAACCAAACTATAACCCTCCCCATTCCAAAAAACAAACAGATATTAGCAATGAGTATAACGGACCTTATACAAAATTTGAGGCTTGAGATTTCTGTAAAAGATCTGATATTCTGTGATGTTTATATATTAGACATTTTCTTCAAAGTCTGTGAGGCTGCCCTCACCTTCACTCAGTCTGCATTGTAACCTCCTTCATCACCTCCTGGTTCTCTCTCCGCTCTCTCCCTCCCATCTTTTCTCTTCCCTCTAGAGTTCCCTGATTCCCCAGGAACTATGAGCTCTTTTCACTTTGTTTTGTAGAGTCAGCTCTCCACAGTTCCCAACGCCAACCTGGATTCCCTTATCTTCCATATGTTCTGAAGACATAAAAGTATCCCTTAAAAAGATCCTACTTTCTTGAGGACTAGTTGTGATTATAAATAGCACATTTCCATTGGCATATGTCTATGTTATTCCCATTATCTTTTGACTTCTCCATGGGAATAGTTAATATGACTTTTGATGCTGTGTAGAATGTACCTTTGCATCATTGGCCATATTCCTCTAACACTCACCCCTCATTCCCTGCTCTCTGTAGCCACTGGCCTTCTCAGCTCTTTGTGAGCCATGCATTAGGGCCTTGATTCATGCTCTTCCTATGCCTGAAACACGGTGCCTTCCCCATCACCCAGTCAGTTCCTACCCAACTTCATCACCTCCTGGTCAAGCTCCAACTCAAAATCAGTTTGAAGGGGTTCCACAGAACCCCCTATATTCTTTTGTAGCACTAACCACAATAACTTGGATAATTAGCTAGGATAATAACTAGGATAATTATGGAACAAATTAATAGAAAAAGTGATTTATTTTACAATTAGTTGCCTATATTCTGATCCCATTGCTAAAATGTCAGCTCTATAAGGCCATGAATCATGTCTGCTTGGTCAGCCCTGTATCCACAGGGGCCTGGTACAGTGCCTTGCACATAATAATATCTAATATATATTTATCACATGGATGAATGAATGAATAAATGAATGAATAAACACATAACCAGGTTTTTTGATACTAGGTGGCTAGATATGTTGGTAATAATGTTTAAGGGAAGAGTCAGCCTGAGCTTGATTAGGCACATTGTTGTGGCCCACAGTATAGGGAAATGGGCTACCATTTGTTGCACACCTGCTATGTGATGCGCACTTTGTTATGATTATTTTATTTCATCTTCACAATAAC